AAACAGTTAGCTTAAATATATATATAAACTCTCTAAAAACAATTACAATTATCTCTAGACACTGTTCATTGCCTAGGTCACAATTTAAGAATCAAAGAATTCAGCTACCTCCAAAAACAATTAAGCTAATCCAAAAATTCCTTAGACCCACAACTGAGTGAGAGCTTCATGGATCCCTAGATCTGGCTGGCTTTCGTAGGCTATGGGTTCCTTTTTGTAGACTATGGCTTCCTTTATTTTTGTTTCGTGTTGGCTTCCACACTTCATGAATTTACTAAAATTTTAGTCCTGGCACTGCTTCCTCAGGAAAATAAACAAGGGGCTTTTATAAGACTAAAATGAGAACTGCAAGAACCACCTGCCTTAGGGCTACCTAACTATTCATAAACTTTCACCTTATTTCTACATGAAGGAGATAACCAAGCCTGGGAGTGCTTATGCAAAAATATAGTCCTATTACATTTTATAGCAGACAGCTTGACTCAGTTGCTGCTGCCTACTCTTACAGCCCTAAGGCTATGGCTGCAGCTGCAGTTAGTAGAAGTCTCAGCAGAGTTAACCCTAGGAAATGACATTTATTTACAAACTCCACATGCTGTCCAAAGTCTTTTAAATTCTGATTTGACTCAACATTTCTCTGCAAGCAAGCTAACTTCCTATGAGATCCTTCTGCTTTTCATCCTGTTATGTTACTACCCCTGCATGAAGAAGGTCAGTCCCATGACTTTCAGGTAATAATGTCCATTTGGGGGATACCACGTCCTGATTTACAAGATACTCCTTTAACTAATCCTGATTTAGTTTTGTTTCTGGGTCATACTGTAGAAATGAAAAATGGAATCGCCATGCTGATTATGCTGTTACTAACCAATACAATTGACTTCAAAGAGAAAACCTCTCACAAGTTCATTCATCCTAAGAGCCAAGATCCATGCCCTGACCTGACCATGCGAGTCACAAAAAGAACAAATTGTTAATATTTATCCTGATAGCCAATATGCCTCTAGGGTTATCTATATGATTTGGGGATGTTTTGGGGGAAAAAAAGGTTTTCTTAGGTCCACAGGGATCCCAGTAAAAAATGAACAAGTAAATAACCTTCTTCCTGCTTACCTTCTGAAAAGGCTATCATCAAAACAGACTCCCATGAAAAGCACTGAACATGAGTATATCAGGGAAGTGCCCTAGCTGACTTCCGTGCAAAAGCAACAGTAGTGGAATATACAAAGGTTGTGGCACATGTGGATAAAATCAATTTTGCTTCTACAAAAATGATTCCTTGGTGCCAGACTTTTGCAACCCTAATGTCCTTGTAACATGGAGATAGTCTATTCCTCAATCAGAGAAGTCATGATAGGCAAACAATGGTTGCAAATTAAGTAAACAATTGAGTCTGTGGAAAACCCACAACAGCATAGATTCTTCAAGGCCCCTAGCAAACACTGTTTTTTGTATTTCTTTACCCACCATGGTTTAATTAAAATGAATCAAAATAAATAAACATTGGTGATGAGACTTCCATAAAATTGCAAAAACAGTTTACTACCAATGTTTAGTCTTTAAGGCCCATAATCCTGGAAAACCCGTTTTTGTTCCCTGAGACCTCAAACCTTCTTCCTCTGGACACACTGGACACCCGCAGCTGGACTTCATTCAACTGCCACATACATGGGTTATCAAACCGTCCTTGTTATCATAAGTATGTTTTTCACATCGGGTGAAGCCTTTCTCTGCCACAAAGCTGATGCCACCTTAGGGGCAAAGTGTTGGAAAACATGTTTCCTACTCGGGGTATAGCAAGCAAGGTGATTGAGGCACCCACTTCACCAAGCAAGTCATTGAAGCCTCAACAGAAACACTGCAAAGTTCTGGGAATTATCACTGTCCCCAGTGACCCCAATAATCAGGCATGGTTGAAAGAGCTAATGGTCTCTTCAAACACACACTCTCTAAACTTGCTGAAGCTACTGCACTCCTTTGGCCTAAGGTATTATTGCCTCTGGTCTTACTGACTGTTTGTAGTTCCCGCTTTTGGAAACATAAACTCACTCCCCATGAAATAGTCACTGGTAGCTCAATGTCTATTGGTACATAACCCTCTGCTGCTCCTTTTGTTATCTCATGATAATATGACCAGCTACTGTGCATCTTTAATGTCTTACGTTAAAGCATATCAGCAACAAATTAAAGAAGCCTTCCCATATCCCAGTTCAAAAAAATTGTTGTTCATAGTCTGGAGCCTGGTGACTGGTTATATTAAATGTTGTCAAATGAATACAGCCTTTGAACCCCATTATAAGACACCTGACCACTAACATTGCCACAAAACTGGAAGTCATTGAGCTAAATAAGACTCCACTTGACATCTAGTCCAATACAGAGGCTGGAGACCTCTAAGTCAAACCAATGAGAAAGAGAAGTAGCTGACATCAAAGCAGACTGCTTCCACCTCAAACACTGGATCAAGACTTCATACTTTAAGAAAACATAAATTTCTTTTATCTTCTCTTTCTTTCCTTTACCCTAGTATTGGTCTGGAAAGAGCCATTATCCATATCTTCAGGCCAACGTTTTGGACTGCTGGATTTGTCATCAACGGTTCTGATCAATCCGTGATGTTGGAGATCTCCCGCCCCTCCCTGTGACTGATTTCCCTGCTATCGCCAATGTCACTGTAAACTATGATCAGCTGCCATTAGAAGTCTCTCACCAAGTTTAATTAACATTTACGGCCAGGTCATCCAGTGCCTTATTTTTACCTTTCTCAAATTATAACTAAACTTGCCCAGTTAGATGTAAGTACCTAATAAATCTCAGTACATTTGCACCTCTGCATTCTAGTGATTATCTAAATCAGATCTTCCCCAACTACAAAAATATCCCCAAAATAGTACCCATCTTTGCAAGGTATTAACATTTAGAACGGCTCTTTATTTCAGGCTAGATTTACAACCTGAATGCAGTAAAAGCCTAACTGACCTTGGCTTGAACAGGTAAATGCAACAATCCCTGCACATAAGTCAATTAATAGTACCACCTTGATGTGATGAGAAAGGTTTGTGCCCTGACAGGGTTTAGCTTTGTCTGAGGTGGTTATTACTCTTCTTGGGCCTATGGCTGGTGGGTAACCAGTCAATGCCTCTTAAGAATCTAACTTTCCCCTAATGGTTCACAAATGGACTGAAACACCTCAGCGGATAATTCCCCTGACTTTAGATTGTTAAGTTAAGAAGTCCTACTAGGGAGTAGTCATGATTCAGGACTTGATTCCTTTGGCAGAGCCCTGCTTCCCCAGTGAGGAGTAAATGTAAATGATGCTATGATTAGGAACCTCTCCTTAACTCTTGAATATATTGCAGAATCTTCTGCCAAGACAATAGCTACCACAAAAATCCTTAGTCTCTCTGACCTAAGTTGTTTTTGATAATAAAAAGCCTTTGATTATCTTTCAGCTGAGTGATGAGGTGTCCACACTGTTGCCCACACAACTTGTATTTGGATCAACACTTCTGGGCAGGGTGAGACTCAGCTACACAGCTCACTGAACAAGCCACTGGATTAAGAAAGATTACTTCAATGTGGTCTTTTTTTACTTAATTGATTTGGGTCTTGGGGACCACATTTTGAAGTTCACCCCAAACATTGGGGAATATCCTACTTATATTAATCATAGTAATCTCTCCAGTGTATTGTGTTTTCTCAAAAGCCTTAAATGCATGTTTGTAGCTACTAACCACAAAAAACAATGCTCTTCCTATGACTGGAACACCAAAGAAGAAATGAACAAAAAGATGTCCAGTTGGAATAATGTGAGCTGAGTTCATGGCCTGTGAATACCACACAGAAGACCAGTAAAAGCTACAAGAGCTACAGAGAGGTATCTGGAAGAGGCATCTAATGCCTTAAATTTTGATCCCATCTTTCAGTTAATCTGAGAGTCTGATCAAAAGGTGAGGAGTGAGAGGGAGAAAGAGAGAGAGAGAGAGAAAGAGGGACAACCCTATTAGCAAACCAAGACTTGATACTTAACCTAATTGCAATTTCAGCCTCTGCCAGAAATGTAACCTCTAACTAGCCAATCTGGAATTACCTGGTTTGATCTAGTGTAGTAATCTGCCCCACAGACCTCCCTTATCCCCCAAAGAAGTTGACCTTGACCGAAACAAGTCATTCTTTGCTAGAGTTTCATTTTGCCACTCGCTTCCACCTGTAGAAAACTTTTATTTTGTACAGGTCTATCCGCAAGATGGGATGCTGCCTGACATATCAATCATTGAATAAAGCCAATTAGATCTGTAAATTTATTCAGTTGAATTTTGTGTTTTTCACAGAATATATAATAATAACTTAATCTGTTAAGAAACACATAGAAGCTATACATCCAGTATTTAATAAATTGTTATCCAGGGAATATATATAAATGACATTCAATCTTTCAACCAAACCATTTTGTGTGTTTAAACATGTGCATAGAATTTTTTTTAAAAATAAACTTTTCTTAGTACAGTTTAATTCTGTGCCATTAGACATGTAAAGAAATCCCCAGTAAAACACGTTCTTCCGAAATGCAAAAAAAATATTTTGATCTCTGCAGATAACAGAAGGTTAGTTGAAGAAACCTCGGATTACTCAGAAGAACCATGTGAAGTGGGAGCACACAGGCACAGGGGGACATTAACTCCAACATAATATTCTGAAGGTATTTGTGTGCTGGGCTGGGATGATTCACATGCCTTGTTCATGCACCGAACGAAGATGGATCTGGACAATCACTCTAGTTAGCGGGCACCTCCATGCTTGTCAGTTATTGTAGCTTCATCATCCTGTAAGGACCATCTAATCCTCTGTGGCTACAAATCAAAAAGAAAAGACTTAGATAATGAACAACTGCTTTTTACATCCAGAAATTTTTTTAAAGGAAGAAAAAAACGCTTTTAAAAGTACCTTTAAAGTACTTTTTCTCTCACGTCAGTGGCAGAATCTGTACTGGACAAGCAGCAATGGCACCTCGAAAGGAGAAGGAAAAGAAGGAAGATCAAATCATCAACGTCGGTCCTCAGGTGGCTGAAGGAGAAAATGCATTTGGTGTCTGCTGTATCTTTGCATCCTTCAGTGACACTTTTGTCTACATCACTGGTCTTTCTGGCAATGAAACCATCTGCGGTGAGACTGGTAGGATGAAAGTAAAGGCTGACAAAGATGAGTCCTTCCCATACACTGCCATGTTGGCTGCCCAGGATGTGGCCCAGAGGTGCAAAGAGCTGGGTATCACTGCTCTCCACATCAAACTCTGGGCAACAGGAAGAAATAGGACCAAGACCCCTGGACCAGGGGCCCAGGCAGCTCTCAATGCACTTGCCTACTTGGGAATGAAGATTGGGCAGATTGAGGACATCACCCTCATCCTCTCCAATTGCACCCACAGGAAGGGAGGTCACCATGGACACCATCTGTGAACAGGAGTCCTCAAATTATTGTTTTCTGTTAATACATTGCCTTTATGTCAAAAGAAGTACTTTTTGAACTTTGTCACAGAAAAAGTGCATTTTAATTCCTTTCATATTCCACTGGTGAAAATAATTCAGAATTTCATAGCAAAATGAAAGGAGGGGATACAGACATAAAGCACCTCTTTGTGCACCTCTCTCTCCACACACAGTGTGTATGGTGGAGGTGACTCACAACTCTGGCTGTCGCTGGTGGCTCTCAGACAGACCAGTCAAACACCGACTAAAGATTTATTTCTAGCTTCACCTTTGTTATTTAACAAATGCTTAGGTATAGGTTTTCATAATTATATTTGAGGCACTTAAACAAATACCTCAGGTCTATCCTGGACACATCAGAAGATAACTAATCACTAGCAGAGTATAGATTTAATTAAAATAATTCACGTCAAACTAACTGACCCTGGGATGTAAATTTTAAAAATATACATATCTATTTCATACTGTACATCAAAGTACTTTTAATGTAAGTTTCATCATGTAACTTGACTAATATAATATTTACATATAATGTGTTTTTCATCTAACCAATTTTAAATACTCTGAATTATGCAATAATATCTTTCTTTAAATGTTAGAGTGAAAATAGAAAAGACAATTATTAGCACAAAAGAATCAAAGGACATTTTTATTATTTGTGTAGAAAAGAGAGATTTGGCATATTAATTATTCAAAGTAGAACCGGTACTTTTAGAGACACTTACAAAAAGAAGGATTTTTTCAGCTTGAGCCCTGTTTATAATACTTACAGAGTCTTTTAAAATTCTATTAGAACTGTACAGTGAACTAAAAAACTTAAACTCATGCAATGCATGAAATTTAGAGTTGTGCATAAATATCTCAACTGAAATAGAGGATTCTTGCAAGTGTATCATTACAAATTATACTTAATCCAAATTATATCCTACTTAAAAATGGCTTCCAAATATTTTTAAAAGCATATTGCTTTGCTTTTTCAATAGATAGTATATGAATATATAATTATGTTAAAATAATTGCAGCCATATTTCAGGAAAATATTTTTATGTTTTTAAACTGGCATAGAACTATGCTAAAAATTTCAGAGGTTTGGAGTAAATAAAAAAATAAAGAAACTGATTATAAGCTCTATGTTAGAGGGTTAAAAGACATAAAAAATCATAAAACATGTGACTGACCAACTAAAAACAAACACAAAACTGAGATAAAGGCCCAAATTCACAGTATCCAATGGGAATGATTAGTCCATCCCTGAATGAAAGTGTGAAGATAAATTCTTTCTGTAATTCATGCAATCAATGTTCTATCTATTTGTTGCAGACTCTGACCAGCAGAGTCCGCCTGTTGTTGTATATGACGAGAATCAATGCACAGTCGACAACAATCCTGTGTGGAAAAAGGGAACAGGCACGACTACTCTCTCAAGGGGAGAGTGCCTATGGTGCCTTGGCCACTCCCTCAAGAGGGGAGTGCCCCGACCCTTGCCTAGACAGGCTTTTATTGTTTTCTTACATCATAGAAAGATTTATTCTCTATCACACAGAGCATTATTATCTACATTCTAGGTACAATCAAGGAAACAGAAATGGCATGCAGAGGGGGGTGGCAAGGAGCTCATTAGCTCTGTCCTTGGGAGAGCTCACACAGGCTTTGGAAATCATCTTGAAGATAAACAATATACATTTGTTGTTCTAGACCAGGGTGAGGGAGTTTTAGCAAGAGCAAGCCATAACAATAGGTAAGTATTTTCTAGGCCTGATTCCCACGGGAAAACTCAGTTTGAAGGTCTGGCTCCTGCCCACCACTTCACTTCTATAGGTTTTCCATACAGAGCTGAGTCACATTTGCCAGGCCAAGACAAACTGGTCCCCTACATCTATTAATTGAAAAAAATACTGAAAATAAATATATCAACCTGTTACCTAAAACTATAAACTTTTATTTTCAAAAAATAAGGAAGGACAAAATTGAAGGCAGAAAAACAGGTATATTTTTAGTGCACTATATATTCTACTTAATGTTGTGGAACGCTCTGCCTGATTTCAGGAATTGTAACTCTCTACCCCTTGTGGCTTAAGGATGAGTGAGCGACTGACTACCTTTGGAATGCAAGCCGCAGGAGACAAGGCTTGTCTCTGGTAGCAAACACTGCCTCAGTTTCCTCTCCCTGCCCCCAGAGCTTGGTTGGAAGTCAATGATGGGTAAGACCCCTACAGCGGGGGGCAACTTAAGCCAGACTCGATCACTTGGGAGGCCATCATGGAAGGACTCAGGGTGCTCCAACAGAGAGCAATGGACTCTCACCCCCCTACTCCCCCCTGCCTCCCCCCCCTCCCCCGGGCTTTGACAAATGTTCTCTTAGAGAAGTGCTTCCTGGCTCTAATCCCCTTAAGCCTGAATACCTGTTGGGAAGGGTGCAGCTCCTTGCCTTGCTAGAGCGTGTCCTGAGGAAAAATCTGGCATCACAAAGACTTGCTGCTAAATCTGTGAAATCTGCTCTGCTAAGGGTTCAAGCAAGAAACCCCAAAACTCTGTTCCTGACAGACTTGGACTCATAGTAATCCCTCAGGTTTCTTTGAAATGTTATCTACTGTTTGATCCTTGCTGTCCTGTATTTCTGTGTATTGCAACCCAATAAAAACTCTGGAGGAGGGGGCTCAAGGCCTTTTCTCCTCAGAGAAACTGGCCACTGCTGGCCTTTGTCTCCCCTGAGAAACTGGCCACCAGCCCACGGCTTTTTCCCAGCAGGGAAAATGGCCACTTCTCCTCCCTAAGCAGATCACATCATGTCTCGGTCATATTCATTCTCATCCGTGGCACATGGGGGGACTTGCGAGGAAAGTCACCCCCACAACTTAACATATGAAAATGTACTTAAACAATTATTGCATATTCTTATATGGTTACAATCAAAATAGATAAACATAGTTTGTAGATAATGAAGGAAACGCCAATAATTGTGGCAATATTTTATAGTTCTGATCCATCTGAAGTAATGAAAGATTAAGTTAAAAATAAATGTATTGGTACAATTTGGCTAAAGTTTGCTATCAGAAAAATTGAAGTATTTTGTGTGTTCTAAAACTTACAGTGATGGCATTTGCCATTAATTCACTATCAGACTATTTCAACTTGCTTTGAAAGGTTTCTTGAACAGCCTTTTATGCCATCTGCCAGAGAGCTGGGAATGTTTGCCTACAAAATTATCATTTTATGCACTCATTACAAAGTGGGTAGTGTGTTACCCTTATCACTTGCATGAAGACATAAGGGGCTGTTTAACTACACTACATTGCAAATATACGTAATTTACATAATGTGATAAAGTGTAATATTTAAGATACACAGGACTAAAATGGATTTTAAATCATTTTAATTTTCCATTACTTTGGCCAGTGTGGTAATCCTAAAGTCCTTGGAGCCCTTGAAATTGATTTTGATTATAATCATCATGGTTTTACAAGGAAAAGTGACTTTGTATGAGAGCACACTATCCATTGTAACTTTAAATGTGATTCCAATGGACTAGGACATAGCAGCACTAATTCAATCAAATAGATATTAAAAAATATATAGCACTCAGAGCTGCCAAGTAAATATATACTAATGGGTTTTCTGTTTCATCCTCCAAATGACATTTATAAGGCTATTGTAAAGATGCAAAAATGATAATTTCTGATAAATAATTTATTTTAGGAAAGGAGTAAATCAGTTAGGCTACCTAACACTTTATCATCTGATAAAAATGTATAAGCTTGTTTGATTATCATAAAACTTAAAAAAGTATCTTTGAAGATGTTAAAACTCTTCTCAAATTGCTAATATTATTGATAATTCCGCGTTCAGACAATGAAAGGACATTTTGCCTTTCCTAACAGTAAGGGTCATCAAGAAGTTAGAAAATGCTGTTTTATGTTTACTGAACATTTTTGTCTTTTTTTTAAATAGAAAGTAATGTGAATATTAACACTATAACTCTCAACAGGGGAATTATATTTTGTCTCAAAATTTCAGCTCTCATATAATACTTATAGTTTATTTTAAAATATATTAGTTAGCCAAAGATAAAGGCATAAACATATTGGGTTTTTTTCTAAACCATTTTTAAAAGATACGTTAACAAAATTGCTTCTGACAGTTTCATCTTCCGATCAGCAATTTAGAAGCTTTTGTTATCACCAAACAGAAGAATCTGGGGGGAAACAATGAAATAAGGAGAGGGAGAAATGAGAAAATGGTTAAGGTTCAACACTGGGATTCAATTTCTAAAGACCTAGAAAAAACAAGGTTTGTGTTGATAATATTTTCACCCAGACTTAATCATTTCACAATAACTTTTTTTTTTACTTATGTCGAATTTATACTTACTGAGGAATCAGTTCCTGGTGGGATTAGGTAGTTATGTCGTTATATTCAGTTAGATGTTTATTTATAGAAAGGGGTGGCAAGGACCCTATTGTTAGAGTCTCTAATCATCTGCTTTTGAACACCCTTTTCTGAGATTCAAGATCTTAGAAAATACATTTGTATTCTGAGTTTTTGTTTCCAAAGTAAATTTTAAACTATTTTTTAAACATGGGTTGGTTTATTATTTTAGTAATTGTTTATGGAGTTGATAATATTAAGGATTATAATTTATTTAATAACAATATAGGTCAAAGGATATTTTTTCTGATTATTTAAAATGAGTTTATCATTAATACATGTCAAATAAAAACATCTTGCTACATTAACAGGAGTTAAAGCTGTTTACGTTCATTTTTTTATTTAAAGTTGTTTTAAATATATGACATTTAAAATATAGTCATATTTACTCATTCCATACTTGTGATAATAAGAGGTCTTCCTCAGAGAGGGTAGCTCACGTGGTGTTGTATAAAAGCCTGGCAATGAGGACTTGCAACACATCTAAAACCTCTCAGGACAGTAATAAAAGTACATATATGGCCCAGCTTTCTGCTAATACTGCA